CTGGACCTTCCTTAGTTCTGTGATGCCCAAAGAGACCTTCCTGCAGGGACAGATGTTTAGGACAGATGTGCAAGAGGGGTGCCTCCCTTCCCACCCTCAGCTTCAGGCAAGGAAAGGTGATGAAAAGATGCCCAACCCAACAAATTAAAGGCAGGCCCTGCTAAGCCAGGGCATTCCCAGAGATGCCTCTGCATTCCCAGGATATCCTTGGCTTTGTGTCCATTCCATTGACCCCTTCCCTGTTTTCCAGGCAGGGAACATCAGGTGGGGGTTGGGCTCTGCTCCCAGGGAACAAGGGACAGGAGGAGAGGAAATGGCCTCAAGCTGTACCAGGGGAGGGTCAGGTTGGACATGAGGAGGAATTTTTGCATGGAAAGGGTGGTCAGGCACTGGAAGGGGCTGCCCAGGGAGGTGGTGGAGTCCCCATCCCTGGAGGTGTCCCCATCCCTGGAGGTGTCCAAGGGAGGACTGGACGTGGCACTGAGTGCTCTGGGCTGGGGGACAAGGTGGGGGTCGGGTACAGCAGGGAGGGGAGGGGAGGGAAAGGGAGAGGAGAAGAGGGGAGAGGAGGGAAGGGGAGGGGAGTCTGCAAACCGTGGTTCCTGCTGTCCAGTGCTCCTTCCTTCATCTTATCCCTTTGCACCCACTGAGAGAGCTGCACTTCAGGGAAGATGTAGGACAGCTGGTGTGACTCCAGAGAGGACCATGACTGTTCCTGGGGGACAGACCAGTAAAAGAGGACAGAAAAAATAAGCAGGAAATAAATAAGATTAGGGTGAGGATGAAAATATTGGATTTGGATTGGATGCCTAGAGAGTTGATAAAAGAGAACAAGGTTGGTCTGATCTCCATTTCCATGTGCAGAACTGGGAATTGTGGGCTGTTGGTTTTTCCCAACATTTAGCCTGGGCAAGAGAAGCTTTGGGCCTAAAGGGGCTCCAAGAGAGCTCGAGAGGGACTCTGGATAAAGGTCTGGAGGGACAGGACACAGGGAATGGCTTCCCACTGCCAGAGAGCAGGGTTAGATGGGATATTGGGAAGGAATCCTTCCCTATGAGGGTCATGAGGCCCTGGCACAGGTTGCCCAGAGAAGCTGTGGCTGCCCCTTCCCTGGAAGTGTCCAAGGCCAGGTTGGATGGGGCTTGGAGCAACCTGGGCTAGTGGAAGGTGTCCCTGCCCATGGCAGGGGGTGGGACTGGATGGGCTTTAAGATCCTTCCAACATAAACCATTCTATGATTCTGGGATTCTGTGAACTACAGCAAAGGGTTGATTCAAAGAGAAAAGGTTTAAATAACAGACACAGTGAAGCTTCAGACATTTCTGAGGAAGTTGTGGAATTTCCCTGGTTTGCACGACCTTAAGAACAAGTCAGAAAAGCAACTCCCAGGAACGACTCGGAAAGAATCACTTCTGGTTCGGAAGGAAAATGTAAATGTAAATCTGTAGTTCTACATAAATCTGTGTGGATCAATAGACCCCACAGATCTACCAAGAGATAGATCTGTAGATCACCATAAATCTGGATCAATAGATCTTTAACTCACAAAATCTGAATCAGCAGATCTGTAAGTCTGTTTGGATCAATAGATTTGTGTCTCGCTATAAATCTGATTGGATTGATAGATCTGAAGCTCACCATGAATCTGGATCAATAGATCTGTGGATCAAAAGCCCTGTGACCTCCTCTGGTTTCACATGGACACATATCCTGTAGCTCTGGGCAGGTGGGTCCTGGGGTCATTTCATAGAATCATAGAATCATAGAATCAGCTGGGTTGGAAGGGACCTCTGAGATCATCAAGTCCAACCCTTGATCCAACCCCGCTGTGGTTCCCAGCCCATGGCACTGATGCCACATCCAGTCTCTTTTTAAAAATCTCCAGGGACGGAGAATCCACCACTTCCCTGGGCAGCCCATTCCAATGACTGAGCACCCTCTCTGCAAAGAAATTCTTCCTAAGGTCCAACCTAAACCTCCCCTGGCACAGCTGAAGACCGAGCCCTCTTGTCTTGCTGATGGTTGCCTGGGAAAAGAGACCAACCCCCAGCTGGCTACAACCTCCTGTCAGGGAGTTGCAGAGAGTGAGGAGGTCTCCCCTGAGCCTCCTCTTCTCCAGGCTGAACAGCCCCAGCTCCCTCAGCACTTGTGCTCCAGTCCCTTCCCCAGCCTCGTTGCTCTCCTCTGGGCCTGCTCCAGCCCCTCAATGTCCTTCCTGAGCTGAGGGCCCAGAACTGGACACAGCACTCCAGGGGTGGCCTCACCAGCACTGAGTCCAGGGGAAGAATCACTGCCCTGGACCTGTTGGCCACACTGTTCCTGATCCAGGCCAGGATGCCATTTGCCTTCTGGCCCACCTGGGCACATTTGCATCCTCTAGTTCTCCCTCTTAATTCCTGATGCAATAAATCCAGCCCTAAATTCTTGGTGACCAAGTTCCAGCCCCAGAGATGAGCACGTCAAAGGTTATCTCTGGAGCCAGACCAGTGGGTCTGAGCCCATGGCAGGGAGTGGAACAAGATGGAACCCAAACCATTCCCTGTCTCATCCTCTGTGTCCCACATGCTTATCTTTAACCTCTCTGTACAAATCCCTTCCCCTTCTCTGCCTCAGGTGATCCTGTTACTCAGCCCATGGACTTTCTGACTCCCAAGGCTCATTTTCTTGCTGGTGCTTTTCTGGTGCTCCTCTGACTCACGTCCTGGAGAGACACCTGTGATCCAGGTGTGGGACATCCCTTCCAGACCAGCACTCCCAGACCACCCCCACAGGAAGGGATGGTCTCCACGAGGTGCTGATCATGTGCCACAGCACAGGCAGCTGGCAGAGCTTCTGGATCACCTTGTGGAACAACTTGGCCATGTTTGAGAGGTGAGGTCAGAGTTCTGTGCAGAGCTTTATCAGGCAATAAATGTTAATATTCCTCAGCCCTCACTGCCAGAGTGTCACCAGAATGGATTTCTTGTTTTTATGAAGGAGATGAAAGATTGATCAGAGAGAAGGCTCTAGAAAGGCTCCAATAACTGGACACCACCTGACTGGACACCCTCATACCCCCAGAAATCTGCACTACAAAGAAGTGGTTTGTACAAGGCCCTGTGTTGGTTTGACCTCACAGTGCTGCAGACTCAGGAATCAGGATCTACAGTTGCCTTTGTTTTACACAGAACAAACAGTATTCCTGCCATAAACCCCTGGAGGAAGGGCTCCTGTTCTGTTTGCACTCATTTGTCCAGTCTTTCCCCAAACCCAGCTGTCTCCTGACATCCTGTACCCGCAACAACCACCAGTCCCTCTCAGAGATCCACCAGTCCCTGACTGGTTAAACTGGTTTGGCTGTTTCTGTTGTTGCCCCTCAAAGAGAGGTGCAGAATCCTGGCCCTGCACAGAGACCCCAACAATTCCACCCACTCCCTGATAATGTTGTCCCAACACTCCTTGAGCTCTGGCAGTCCTGGGGCCACGACACTGCCCTAGGGTGTCCTGGGAGGAGCCAGGGAATGGTATCCTTGCTCTGGCAGGACAGTGGGAGTTTCCCAACCTTCCACTGAGAAGGCATCTGAGAATTGCCTTATTGCCCAGAGAAGCTGTGACTGCCCCTCAAAGTGTCCAAGGCCAGGTAGGACTGGACTTGGAGCAACCTGGGCTAGTGAAAGGTGCCCCTGCCCACGGTGACAAGATGAGCTTTGAGATCTCTCCCAACCCAAATCAGCCCATCCCTTTTTCTATTTTTAGTCATAACAGAGCTGCTTTTGCTCAAGGAACATTTTAGACATTGCCTTACCTTGTCGAGGAATTTTATCCTTTATTGAGACTTGCCTGTGAATCTGTAACTGCAAGAGCCACGTGAGACCAGATCCACTGTGACGTTTGCTGGAGGAGTTTATAATTATGACCTTGACTTCCAGATAATATTGTGATGAAACTCCCAGTAGCTCCTGCTGCAGATAGATACAAGCCCGTAATGAAAGAGAGAGTCCCTTGTCCACAGGGACAGTCTGTAGCTCCCAGCATCTTCTCCCAAACTTCCCCAGGTGGTTCCTACTTTTCTGTTCAGGCACTCCCTAAAAAGGCCAACTCAGAATTATTGGTGAATTTTTGAGGAAAAAATCATCACCTCTCTTATATCTTGACTCTGCCAAATATGACTTCGTAAGAAATTAGTGTAACAGAGCTCGGTGTGGGGCCCCATGGAGGAGGAAGGTGATTGATGTTCATAGAATCCCAAAATGGTTTGGGTTGTGAGAGACCTAAAGCCCATCTCATTCCCACCCTCTGCCATGGGCAGGGACACCTTCCACTAGCCCAGGTTTCTCCAAGCCCCATCCAACCTGGCCTTGGACACTTCCAGGGATCCAGGGGCAGCCACAGATTCTCTGGGCAACCTGTGCCAGGGCCTCCCCCCCCCCCACAGCCAACATTTCCTTCCCAATATCCCACCTAACTCTGCCCTCTGGAAGTGGGAAGATATTCCCTGTGTCCTGTTCCCCCATCCCTTGTCCCAAATCCCTCTCCAGCTCTCCTGGAGCCCCTTTAGGCCCCTGCAAGGGGCTCTCAGGTCTCCCTGGAGTTTCCCTTCTCCAGGTGAACCCCCCCAGCTCTCCCAGCCTGATCCAGAACAGAGGAGCTCCAGCCCTTGGAGCATCTCCCTCTGAGACTCTTTTTGAGTGGCAATTACAAACCAGTTTTGGTCACATCTCCAACCTGCTATAGATGCCCACAGTTAACTGTGGGGCAGTTCTTTGGTGTTCCTCCTGGAATGTGAGGGGAAAAGAATCCTCCCATGTGCTGCTCTGGGAATGAACTCATCACTCCAGTGCTGAGTTTTCTCTGCCGTTGACTTGTCGGGGTTCAGACCTCCCACCCTTCCCAAAAACAACCTGTTCAACAGTTTTATTGCCGGAATTGGCACCCTTTGTTATTTCTGTGAGTCAGGGCTCTTCTGCTGTGGCTTTGTGTTCTCACTCAACCACATCTGTCCCTTCCAACTCCATCCGGAACCACCACAAGGTCCCTGCCAGAGGCCTCTGAAGTTTGAGTCAACAAAGGTGATCAAAGACAGGGAACAGCTTTGCAGCACAAAGAGGTTAATGATACAAAGGCAATTCAGTGAAGTGTTCAGACAGCAGGTTCAGGATAATCACAAATATTTCCTTCTCATCCCCAAATCTGCCTCACACTTGGAACAAGCTTCAAAAAACACTCAAAAAAGTCTTCCAGAGCTATGAAATGCCAACGTAGTTCATGAGCAAACTGAGATACAGGTCCTTGGAAGCAGCACAGAAGTATCACTCGTGCTTGAAGGTTTCTGTGAGTAGCTGTCCTTCCATAATTAACTGTTCTGCACAGTTGTCCCCCTCACCCTTTTCCTCTCCTCTTTAGCAGATTAAAGTTCACCTCTCTCCCCTCTGCCACAGGCCCATCACCACTTTGATCACCCTGCCCTGGATTCTCCATCTTTTCCCCCCCTGGTATCACCAGGAGAGGGGTTGTACATCAAGTAAAATCAGTTGCCTGAGGTAAATCAACTGAATCCCAAATAAATGGGGACACTCAGGTGTGGGGAGACATCCAGCTGGGGTGTATTTACTATCTACAACAGAGGAATGCTGAGAGGAATATTGGGATTCAGTGTATCCCCTTATTCACTGGTACAATAAACAGAAAACATATTGATGTGATCAAAAAGTATCTCACCATGGCTGGGCTGAAAACACCAAAATAAGACCTTCTGATTCCAGTGTCTGACAGTGCAAATATCCCAGGCAGAGGAGAACACTGGGTTTGTCTTTCAGATTACTGGGGAAAAAAAAACCCAAGATAAGCTCCTGGAAAGATCTAAGAGCATGTTTATCTAAACCCTGTGATTTTTTTATCAGGCCATGGTAAAATATTTAATGCAAACAGTCTTTGGCTGTACCATGGCTTTTATAGACTTTTTATTGCTCATAAACCAAGTCACGTCATTGTTGGTACATTCTCTGACTCTTGTAGTTAAAATATTACCCCAAGGACAATCCCACCTTTGTGTGCTCAGTGTTTGCTGAGCAATCCTTGGGGATCCTTGAATTTGCAAGGGGTGGGATGAGACCAACCCCATCAGCTTTGCCTGCATTCACTCTGCTTTTTTACCAGGAAAAGCATTTAGCACTGAAATTTCCTAAAAAAAAAAAAAAAAAAAAGCTCTTTTTTTAAATTATGAAAACTGTTCTTCTGTTTCCAAGTCAGAAATTCACTGGTATTGAACAAAAAGACAAAAAGAAGAGGGATTGAGCACTGCTCAGAGAGGTTGTGGAGTCTCAATCCTTGGAGATACCCAAAAATCACCTGGAAACAGTCCTGGAAAAGCAGCTCCAGGGCACCTGCTTGGACAGAGAGCTGGAACTGGACCCCCAGTTGTCCCTTATAACATGAACCACTCTGTGATTCTGAGAAGAAATGGTTTTCAGCCTTAAATTGTTGAGAGTTTGAAAGGATGGAAATGGTTTTGGTGGTAAAATAACTTCTTTTTCTGCTTGTCTCAAATTCTGTCTGGATATTTTCCCTTAGGAGAAGTAAAAAAAAAAAAAAAAGAAAGAAAAAAAGAGGTGGGGAAAAAAAAATGTCAGTGCTTCAACAAGGAGCACAAATGTGGACAATAACAGATTTGGGCAAGTCCTAAACTCCAAAATCAGTCTGAAACTCTCTCAGGTCAGTACATAAAATCCTGTTGTTTGGTTAAAACCTGATTACAGAATTGCCCATCTGGTGGTTGGGTGAACACTCAGAGCCAAGGCCATGGCAGCCTCTGAGAAAACTTCCTTTTATTGGGGCAATCTCCAAAAATTGAGTGTATATGAAGTTTGTTCCAGTGGCACTTCCTTCACCCCTCTCCCAGGGACAGACCTCACTCCCAAGGATGTGCCAATGTCCCTCCCATCCAGTTGCAGCTGAACTCAGAGATACAAAAAGATTTACTGGCATGGGAAAATTTTGAAGCAGAAAATCTGCCCAATATTCCCTTTGATCTGGCTTCAGGTGGCTCTGATGAAGCTGCTCAAGGAAGTGTGGATGCTGCTGGTGTCCTGTGCCCTCCAGAACACTCCTGGACGTGGTGGCATCTCACTGACCCTCACTGAGCCATGAGAATGAATATTAAAGGCAGCTGATGTGTGTGCCCAGGAATAAAGGACAAGGAATTCCTGGGATTGGCTGCAATGGCTCAAATGTGATTGCACCAATGCTCCTGTTGTGTTGCTCTTCTCAAAAAGCCCACCTGCAGAAGACCAGGCCTTTCTGCTGCTGCTCTGAACTGTCTCTCTCCTGAGAGCTGCTCCTTGAACCCCCTGCTCTTATTTACTGGTTGTTGATTCAGTGGTGTGCTCAATAAAATCTGATTTCCAGCAAAATCATGTGCCCTCCTGGTTCACTTTCATCAACACTGAGTCAACTCTGCTAGCACTTTCCAGGTAGCACTGGCAGACAAGGAAACCCACTGAATTTAGAGTTCAGCACTGTGGGAAGGGCCCCAGTGACCCAGGAAGTTACTTTGCAGCCACAGCCACAACTGTTTCGTGCCCACAGACAGTTCTCTGTGTGAAGATATCATGGAAAAAGCTTAAAAAATTCTTTAATTGAGATTTAGATGAATATTTAGGCAAAAATTAAATACATTCTATGTCTCTCAAAGCTGTTCTGACAGATAACAGTTTGAGCCAGAGAGAAATAATGTGAATTAGCCCTCAGAACTTCTTGCCTTGTCCAAGGACAGATATTCACCACATCCTACAGCATCCAGGCCACAAACCACTTTAACAAAAAATGCTGTAGAAGAGAAAAAACCTGACACAAACAAACCTCACAAATAAATCCACCTAGTCTACTCAGGGTCAAGATATAGTGTGAGTGTGAAAAGAATAAATTCCTGAACCATACCTGAGCGTGGAAATATCTCATGGATCCTCTGCAGGATCTGCTCACAGCACTCCCATGTTATTTCCTGCCTTACTCTGCCCTTTTGGCCTCTCATCACCTGTTTTACACAGTCCTTCTGTACAGCAACAAGAAATGGGATACAGAATTTTCTAACAAGAGCCCAGAGATAAGAGTTGTCTGCAAATCTCACCTGAGTACAGAGATAACGACACCAGGGTGACGTCTGTGCTCTCATTAGGGATTAAATATTAATAGGAAATTATGGAATCGTATCAGAGAATCCCAGGATGGTTTGGGTTGAAGGGACCTTGAAGATCATCCAGTTCCACCCCACTGCCATGAGCAGGGAAACCTTCAACTAGCCCAGGTTGCTCCAAGCTCCCAGTTTCAAGGCATCAGGAAGAGCCTTATTTTGAGACTGTCTCTTTGGAATTTGCTGTTGGATGGGTTTTGTCCTGGAGTGCTCAACACTCTGGATGTAAGGAATCCTCTTCTCCACAGTCACAGCTTTTCTATCCAATGAAATGGGAATTTGTACACCTAAAGTTGCTTTTTAAACAGCATTTCTGGATTTAGCCACCCACTCCCTGTGCTCAATGTGTAGCTTTGGAGCACTGAGAGTCTTGTTGGAACTTGGTTGTTGAGTTGAGGGCCCCGTATAGAAAAAATGGAGGCAATAATTCAACAGTTAAAAGGGAATAATTTAAAATCTCAGATATAATCTTATATTAGTATGAGGGAGCTGGGGGGGCTCAGCCTGGAGAAAAGGAGGCTCAGGGGGGACCTTTTAGCTCTGCAACTCCCTGACAAGAGGGGGGAGCCGGGGGGGGGTCGGGCTCTGCTCCCAGGGAATGAGGGACAGGAGGAGAGGGAACGGCCTCCAGTTGTGCCAGGGGAGGCTCAGGTTGGATGAGCAAATTTCCTTCACGGAATCCCAGGTTGGATAAAAAGATTCCTTCATGGAAAGGGCAGTCAGGCACTGGCACAACTGCCAAGGACACTGGCAGGGTTCCCATCCCTGGAGGTGTTCAGGTGTTCAGGTGGCCCATCCCTCTGGTGAGTGCAGAAAGGGGAACGGAGCTGGGGAAGGGGCTGAAGCACCAGGAATGTTTGAGGGAGCTGGGGGGGCTCATCCTGGAGAAAAGGAGGCTCAGGGGGGACCTTCTCGCTCTCTGCAAATCCCTGACAGGAGGGTGGAGCTGGGGGGGTGTCGGGCTCTGCTCCCAGGGAACAAGGGACAGGAGGAGAGAAAACAGCCTCAAGCTGTGCCAGGGGAGGGTCAGGTTGGACATGAGGAGGAATTTCTCCATGGAAAGGGTGGTCAGGCATTGGAAGGGGCTGCCCAGGGAGGTGGTGGAGTCCTCACCCCTGGAGGTGTCCAAGGAATGACTGGACGTGGCACTCAGTGCCCAGGTAGGGATCAGGCACAGGTTGGACTCCATGACCTTGGAGGGCTTTTCCAACCTCAATGATCCTGGGATTCTGTGACCACAAATTAGTTTAAGTTCAGGACACATTAATAAGATATGTTTTATTGCAGTGAATACCCGGACATGACACACCTTATATAGGGAGAAAGCAAGACTGTCCCAACACAAAACTCACCCCAAAACCCAGTAAAAACATAGAGAAAAAAAAAAAAAAGAAGTCCAAATTATTACTGGTTTTATTTCATATACAGGTTATAAACATGGGCAGATCCTTCCTTCACTGTCTTGCCACCAATAACTACAACCATGAGGCAGTGCTTTCCTTTCTAAGTGATTCCAGCACTGTAAGTTGGAATTCCTTTCTCCTAAAGGGAGCTGAAAGAACATGGATATCCAACCACGTGGGAAGTGTCCCTGTGCTCCTCTGCATCCCTAAATACACAGCAATTAGTACAAGTAACAGACCGATTTCTGGCTGTGAAAAGGTTGCTAAACAGCAGGAATTTATCCCAAGTTATTCGCTGCAGTTCTGTTGCAAACAGAGAGGTGTCACCTGCAGACAGGGAGAGTAATCCAAGGCACTGGGGAAGGGCTGGGAAAGGGGATAACCCAGTGCTGTGTGCAGGGGAGGCCAAATCACAGGCAGATATTAGTGATCAGATATTACTTACTAGACATTAAATACTAGATATTAAATATTAGCTACTAAAAAGGCTGCAGGAGGCTGCTGATTTTCAACTGGGAGCATTCAAATCCCAGCAAAATGGTGGGAAATGAAACCCAGGACATTTTCATTCAAGTGTGACCCCACTCCAGCAGCACTGGAGGCTCTCGGGTGAGGTCTCAGCGTCCTTGTTGGCAGAACTGCCCTGCTGGTGGTACCTGATGCCAGCACCACAGGTCTGCACGAGCCAGCAGTTCCACTTTGGCTGTGGTAGGAGAGATATTGATTGGTGAAAGGATGTGATCTCGCCAAAGGAATGCACAAACTTGCCAGCTGGACACCTCTTCTTCGGGATGGTTCTTCACTCAGAAGCACCCGGCACAGGCGGCATTGGCACAGATCTCACACAGGTCATCCTGAGCAGCCAGGCCTGGCACAGGGAGAGGGGGGGTGAATCAGAGGCCAAGGGAGCAAAGGACTTGGAGAGCCCTCCCCATCACTGTCCTATTGCTTTAATATTCCTTGAAAGTACTGCTGCTCTTGCTAAAATCTGGCTTAAGGAATGAAACCGAACACAAATTCATCGGGAAGCAAGAAGAACATGTTGAGGCAGCACATGGCAACATTTCTTTCTGAAGTGCCCATTGCATTGGACAGGATATAAATTGAATATAATAACATGAAAAAGCAACCAGTGCAGCAGCAAAGCATGGCAGGGGAGCTTTGAGCAGCAGGAATGGCTTTAAGTTGAAAAAGGGTCGATTTAGATTAAATATTAGGGAAGAATATTGTTCCCTGTGAGGGTGGTGAGGCCCTGGCACAGGTTGCCCAGAGAAACTGTGGCTTCCCTATCCTGGAAGTGTCCAAGGCCAGGTTGGACAGGGCCTTGAGAGATATGGTCTGGTGGAAGGAGTCCCTGCCCATGGCAGGGGGTGGAAGTGGATGGGGTTTATGTCCCTTCCAATCCAGACTATTCAGTGATTCCATGATTCTACTTGGATGAACTTTTTAATGGTGTGCACAGGGCACAGCACAGCAGGAATCTTCTTCAGGGGCCTCACACCTCGTGCAGCCCAACCCTTGTGGGAGAAAAAGTATCATAAAGGCAGAACAAACCCTCTCAGCTCCTTCAGGAGCAACAGGACAGTCCTTCCACGGCTTTACCTCTGGCCACTTTAATGTCTAAGGTGGAAAAGCGGTATTAGAATGGCAACTCTGCAATATGAGAGACATACTCAGCCTCTGGAAAATCTTGGGGGCATCTTCCCTCTTGCACACAGACTGGAATTCCTCAGGGAGAGATTTCTCGAGGCACAGGCTGTGACTGGCCACGGGCACCACCATGCGAGGGCTGATGGGCCTATTTTCATCCATAAGCTCCTTCAGCTTCTTCACAGATTCCAGAGGGAATTTCAAGTCTCCATCCTGTGTAGAAAGAACCAGAAGAAAAAAAAAGACACAAGGAGAGTCAGTCCTCAGGTAAATCCTTTCCATTTCAACCTCCAGCTCTCCCAAAAAATGTAAGAGAGGGAAAAGGCAGTGCTGAAAGGAAGGCTGGATAAAACCTGTGCTGACTCAAGGCAAAATCATGAGATCTTGAAGGCACAGATATTGCAGAGCAGCTGTGAGACCCAGCTGCTGGTCAGGCCTTTGTTGGGTGTCACAGTGGACAGAGACACAACTGGGGCCTTGCTCATCCCCATGAGTGATACCCAAAACACCTGGGGCCAAAAGAGCCAGGCCGAGAATCCTCAGCTTGGAAAATAGATGACTGGGAGATATCATAGAAACATGAAATGGTTTGGGTTGAAAGGGACCTTAAAGCCCATCTCCTTCACCCCCTGCCATGGGCAGGGACACCTTCTAATAAACCAGGTTGCTCCAAGCCTGGTCCAACCTGGCCTTGGACACTTCCAGGGATGGGGCAGCCACAGCTTCTCTGGGCAACCTGTGCCAGGGCCTCGGGGAAGTGGCAACTTTCCATCAATTTAGAATCACAGAAGCTTCTGAGTTGGAAGGGACCTTCAAGGACCACCAAGCCCAACTCCTGGCCCAGCACAGGACACCCCAACAATCCCACCCTGTGCCAATTTTAAACTTGTCTTACACACAATTCATGGAACTCAACTTACTGGAAGCACAAAATATGACACTTCTCAAAGCTCACTGCAAAATCTCACTGCAAAATCTTCAGGAGGCCAGGACAGGATTTTGGGAAATATTACTCCATTATTTTAAATCACTGTTAATGGTCACTCCCTCAGTTCCCAGTGAATTCCCCCTTTTGATGTCATAAATTTAAGCTGCATGTGTTGCAGCTGCTAAACCAAGTCCACAAAGTTTGTGCC